TCCGGCGGGGCGCCGCTGGATTTCTTGCCGGCAGACGGCACGCGCGCGAGAGGGGGGACGGGGGAAGCCTGTGCGAGATGCTCAGCGTGCGCTTTCTCAGGGTCGGCGACGCGCGGAGAGCGGCCATCGTCGCCCGCACCGTCGGTGTCGGGACGTCGATGAACGCCGGGGGACTGCGCGTCGTCGGCCTTCTCATCAATCATGCGATCCTTGGAATCAGCTGTGCTAGACTCGGCGGTGGCGCTTACATCTGCGGTTTTCTGTACGGCAGGGAGCTGCGGTTGCGCGGCGGTGCCGCCGTGGTTCCGCAGCTTGCCTGTCGCGGTCGCCGGGGCTTTCTTGACGGCTTCGTCGCCATCGTCCACGAGTGTTGCGTCGGATGGGGCGTGGCAGCATGAGAGAAACGAGAAGAGCTTCGACACGCCTTTCTTCGGCCGACGACCATCGACGAGCGTCGTGGGAGAGTCGTTCGGTGCGGATACCTCTCCTTTCTCTCCTGCAGCTGAGTCCGGCATACTGGGGTCGTCGCTGGTCGCCTGCTTTTTCGATACGCGGTGACTACTCGCTTTGCTAGGGGTGCGGCGCTTGCTTGGACTCTCGTCCAGTTCGCTGGTCGCGGTCACGCCGCTGAGCCCTGTCCCCGCTGGCGACGGGTCTTCGGATTTGGACGACTGCGACTTTGAACCTGGTCGGGGAATATTGAGGAGCGAGCGCTTCTTCCGAGGCCGACCTTCGGCGTCGACACCGCTTCGCGAGCTTCGTCCCGATGCCGAACCGGATCGACGGTCCTTCCTCAGCGATTCGGTGGATCGTGTCCCTCGCGATGACGATCGGGTATTGGTCTGATTCGGTTGCAGCGAACTCGAGGAATTGCTTCGCCCTACAGATGCGATGTCAGTCGTATTGTCCGAGGCCGAGACCCGGGAATTAAATGACGCGCGAGCTCCACACGACATGTCCAAGCCGCATAAATCAAAACTCCCTCCCTGGGGGTCGAATGGATGCGATCGAGACTCACCTGCAGTACCGCTCTGCGTCGGCTTCAGCGCGTTGGCGTCGTTGGCAGTTGTCGTCTTCTCAGGCACGGGCGGCCTTCCGGATGGATCAGCCTCGAGGCTCATGTGGGGCTAAACCGACGCCTATGAAAGGCGTACCAAAAGTCGGCGAGCGATTGCGGTGATGGATGACTGCGAACGTGGATTGCTGCGGATTGAATATCGATCGGTGAATGGAGAAAGTGAGGAATCTCGAAGCTGTGTTGGCGCGTAGGATGAAGAAGCGCTTGGATCTGAATGCCCCCAGCAGTCCAGCAGGTCCTGTGCAGGATGGGATTAGTGCGGCTAAAGCTTGCTGATCGGGCAAATGACAGTCGCGCACGGGGCAAGCGGGCGTTCAGGAGCGGACAGTGGATGGGATGCAGGAGATGGCGCGTGGACTGGTGGAGAGAGGTGAAGATGTACGCAAGATAGGGAAATGTGATGTAGATGAGAAGTAAGTAGAATAGTCGGGTGGAATTAGAAGATGAGAGCGCTTGGCTAGAGGTGATGAAGAGGGACGACTAAGCAGGCTCGATTCGCGATGGTATGGATTGTATGGTGCAGAGACGCACCACAGCACAGAAGAGTGGCGACTGGACGGAGTGATGCCAAGCGGGAGGGCCAGACTGAGGAGCGAGGCTGGAAGGGCGAAGGTGAGGTTCATTCGGGCCTCACGCTTCCAAATCCTCAGGGTTGCTGTGGGCGCAGAAGGGAGTCTTAGCATCAGGATTGGTTAGTAAAATCAGCCTCCAGAATTAGGGAGATTTGATGACATTTGGTGAACTTTGGTGGAAGCCCTGGGCTCCTTACAGTGATCTTCGCATTGTACGTTTTGGCGGGTAAAATACACGATATCTCACAATTATTGGTGTATTATATTTTATACTTGGATTAATTCAACCCGATATTACGACTAGGAATGGCTCTACAGGGACCTTTCCACTCTGATTGGCTCTGTCCTTCCCGCTCAAGCTTCTTGGCTCCCGCCGAACCCTGAATGTCCCCAATTGGCCATCCCCCCCAATCACCGCTCCCCTTTCCGTTCCTCCTATCGAGCGCCACGTTGTGTAACTTCATGAGATGCATGGCCGAGCAGTCCGAACAATGGCCTCCTGCAGTTTGCTCGAAATTGACGCTGATCGTGGTGGATGACTCTTTGTCAACAGATGGTCTCTCGAGTCGGGACTCAAGAATGGAAGAGCAAACCTGCCATGCCATGCATAGCAAACAACGACAAGATACTTCCGTCCAGTATTCCACACTGGTCACTATTCGACGGACCGTTACCTGTCAAAACTGATGGCGCACTGCATAAGTCTAACGGTCACCGTGTATCATACGGTCAATTCTACTACCCTTGAGCTTCCCGATGTGGTAACTTGTAGCTATAGAATCTGATATCTGATGAAGGCAGGTACCCAGTACAAAAGGGTTTGTGCCGCGAACCATCTCAGACGGCCATCTTTACCCTTCTCATGCCGTTCTATTACCTCTGACAAGCGTTTTATACACGCATTTGCCTTGTCGTCCGCATTCCGGTTGGATTTTCTAGCCGTGCCGGCCATTTCGTCCATGGTTCCCGTGGAGTTCTCCGGATTGCACCAGTTCAATCAAGTTTGGGTCCCTGTCACGCCATTAGGGTCATGATGGTTCGTATTGCTGGGGATACTATGTCGATCAGGAAACCTATCAGTGTACATCTCCCAGAGGAACTGCAATGACTTACTCTGAATGGAGAATAGATATATGCTGTCCACCCGTTCGGCTTTAGTATCGATCACACTTCACCATACTGGGCCGGTACGTCTTGATACTGTTGGGGTTCTCCTGTATCCATTTTGAACTGACCGATTCCCGTGTCTGAGAATAGTAGAAGGTATTGCATTTAAGGATGTTTGACTCTATTCATCTACTACCATCTCATTATTGTTCTCTCCTTATACTGAAGGATCTTGGTATTCTCACTTCTCCGTCCAAGGAAACAATACGGGATCGGATACTTGGCGAGGCTAGAGAATTCTCGAATGCGCCGAAGTTCTGTATCTTCAAACCGAATCATCTACAACCTCTCATCACGGGTTCCATTCTTTCACTTTCATGCACGTAACTCTTCAATGCCTGTACAGCCGGCTATGGCCATCCATGTCTATTACACCAGTGACTTCTATAAAGAAGGAGAAACGACGCTCTTCCTCACGTGGGAGTGACCTTGTGTGGAATCCACCAATGCAACTAAACCCGCCAGAAGGCAAGAGCACAATTGTAAGCCGCCCAGACTCTATCGTCTGCTGACCTTGAGTTCGACCAAACTGGTGAACCTAAGAGCTGCCACCCGTACCGCCAGTGAATCTCCCTGCTCTGCATCTCATGCGCCATATTCCCCGTCAACTAATATGTGTGGAACCTGGACCTCCAATCACAGCAACGGCTCAGAAGATCCTTGCTATCGGATTTCCTGGACGCATCACATCCATATCACGGAATCCCTCGCCTAACCAGAACCCCTCGCTGCACTGCTACATAGTAACGCGATCTGCAGTCCTCTACTATGCCACAAGGAGTTGTCATTGCTCCACTCCCCAACCAGAAGACCCCAGCGCCATATAGAATAGGAGTGTCTGGTGGAGATTCTTTTTGACTCGGTCACGAGGCTCCAAATGAATGGGAACCTGAGAGATGATATCAGGACACGGGAGTCTCGTCGCCTGCGAAGTAGAGCGCCATTCGAGATCCAGGCAAAATCCCCTGGGGAGGGATTCGGAACCACCTCCAGTCGGGAGGGAAGCCAGCGAGGCGGTTGTCGCTCTTCCAGGTACCATGGAGTCGTATCCATGAATGTGCACACAATCTCCCCGAGTGCCCTATTTCCCGTACTCCCAGGAAACTCCACGGAGCGATACCCGCGTTGAGATCACTTGAAGCCATTACCGCATTCACCCTCCCCTTCCCCCTTCCATCTCCTTCGCCGCCTTCATCTTCGCCTTCATCAGATCCTTCTCAAACTTCTTCTTTTCGACCTCCAACCGCTTCCTGATATTCTCGAGCTGCGCGATGCGGTCTTCGATTGGCTCTTGCTGGAATTCTTTTACGACCTGTTCGCATAGGGTCAGCAATTGACACGTAACTATCTCGCGAAGCTCCCGTTGGAGGGGAGGGTGGAACAATTGTAGGCTATTGGGAAGCAGAACGTCAACATACCTTTTTCTGATCCTGCTCATGCTTGAACAAGGCGCCTCCATATGCGCCAGCGACGGCGATGATACCGAGACCGACGGTCCAGACGAGTGGGCGGATGCGGCTGGGGCCCGCGGGAAGAGGGAGGGGAGATTGGGTTTTCGGAAGCCTCGAGGAGGAGATCGGAGGTCTGCGGCGTGGTTGAGACATGTTGACGGGATGGAATTGGAGTTGTAAAAAGTTTGGGGAAGTTGAGGATGAGATGTGGTGGTGGACAGGGGTTGGGTGCGCGAGTCATGTAGTAGGACTGGACGACGTCGGCCGTTCTGGTAAGACAACGACCCCTGTTTCGGGACAACCCACTTTCTGGACAGTCCTTGAGCACCACAATTAGATATATCAATTAGCTAGAATTAGACGAAACAATACAACCACACTAGTTATCTTCATTAAGATGCCTCGTCTTGATGAAGATACTATTCAACGTGCTATTCAAGCGTATAGAAATGAAGAATTCGATTCCATACGTAAAACCGCAGAAGCCTTTGGCCTGAAGCCCTCCACCCTCCACGCCCGCCTACAGAACGCCCAATAATCCCACCTAAAAGCAGCGGAGAAGCTCCAGAAATTGTCTCCTAGTCAGGAACTGTACTTGACTCAATGGATAATAGAAGAAGTTTGTTGTACGAGAGCTCCTTCGCACGCTAGAGTGCGTCAAATGGCCGAATGCATCGCCCGTGAAAACGGCGATAACACTCCTTGCGGCAAGAATTGGCTCGACGGCTTTTTACGACGCAATCCAACCATAAATTCTATGATTGGAAAATCAATCGAAGCCGCTAGAGTAACCTCTGCATCCAAAGACGATATTTCGGCTTGGTTCGACCTGTTACGGAGCCTCGTCGATCAGTATTCCATCAAGTCCACCAACATATGGAATTTTGACGAACACGGAATCTCTTTGGGCTGCGGTACGAATGGAAGAGTACTAGCCCCTATTCAGAAGAATAAGAGGAGAAAAACCTACGTGAAAACCCCCGAGGATCGCGAGTGGGTTTCCATCATCGAATGCATTTCCGCCGCAGGCCGCATTATTTCGCCACTGGTCATCTTCAAGGGCCAGAACCTCCAATCGACCAGGTTTCCGCCTAATATTGCCAGTCTACGTAACTTGCATTGGACTGCGTCAGAAAAAGCTTGGACATCAAACGAAATCGGTCTGAAGTGGTTTGAAAAGAAGCTCTTACCCGAAACCACTCCTGAAGGCAGTCCGGCCGATTACCGTCTATTGATCTGCGATGGGCATAGCTCCCACACTACCGTGGAGTTCATGAAGCTATGCAAAGTCAATCGGGTCGTTGTACTATACCTGCCCGCCCATTCCTCCCATCTTCTCCAACCACTTGATGTCTCATGTGTCTCCCCCCTTAAGACCAAATATCATAAAGAACGAAGCAAATTAGCCTCTCTAGATGATGCTGCCCCTATCAAGAAGCATAATTTTATCAGTATATATAGTAAGTCTCGCAGTGAAGCCCTTAATAGCCACAATATCCGTTCCGGATTTCGCGGAACCGGCATTTTACCCCTGAATCCCGACAAAGTATTAAATAGCCAACAATTAAACGTCAATCATACTACTGTGCAACGTCATGTGACCCCCGAACCTACTCTTTATACATTTAATACACTAAAATGGCCGAAAGACGCGTATTCGTTGCAATACGATGGGCTGAGTGCGCGGGATTACCGGGATTCCAGGGGAAGATTGCGAAGTCGCTTTCAGAGAAGAATGCTGAGATCGCCGCGCTAAAAGCACAAGTTGCCAGGCTTGAAAAGTCGTTGGGAGATGTAGGCGGAAGTGCTAGGAAACGAAAAAGAGTCCTCCTAGATCCTAATGAACGATTCGCGACGGTTGATCATATCGTTGCCGCTCAGGAGGCTGCTAAAGAAGAGGAGCGCAAAGCTGCGCAAAAAAAAGTCATTTACGATGCAGAGGAGACATCTCGAGAACTCCAACAGACTGAGTTTGAGTCGCTTTGTTCTCAGTTGCAATTATAACTATATAGAATCGATTGTGGTTGAGCTATTGTGCATAATGTACGAGCGATATGTTGATAGATTTAAATTGTTGGGTGTCCAGAAAGTGGGTTGTCCCGAAACAGGGGTCTTTGTCTTAGGGGGTGGCCATTGACTGATAAAACTGACTGATATCGAGGACAGTTTCTAGTCGCAGGACGAATGATATTCCCTTTGTTTACGGTACTATTCAGTGCTTCTCTATTGTATTTTTGAAAGTTAAACTCTTAATGCTTAAATTAAATATAGAACCAGCTTCAAAACGAGGAACTCTCCAATACTTTTCCCACTCAGACTCCTTCTTATATCTCTCCTCTTTCAGGAACTCCTCCTTCATGATGCCTTGTAGGTAGCAAGGGCCCGTGACTTGCGATATTTTCTCGGCCATTTCTCGCGCCACATTCCCAGCACCCTTTCGTAAGGTCTCAACGATGTCTAAGGGAACATCGCGAACGATGGGTGATACACTCGGTCCTCCAAACGCTGCTATAACATCACCAGCACCTACGTCTGGAGGAACAAGGCCTATGTATCCCCGCTTTGTGATAATAAATACATGATCCTTCAAAGCTTTGCCCAGGTATCTGTGAATAGGGCTGGACACGAATATTCGACTATTCGTATTCGTACGAATATTCGTAGTCGAATACGAATAAAATTTAGAATTTCCGCTTACTAATATTCGTACGAATAATATTCGCATTATTCGTAATTATTCGTAATTATTCGTCTATCTCTGAAGCTATTTCCATGTATCTCGCATCGGAGAGATGGTCGACAGAGAGCTTTAAGCTGGGGTCACTTGGCTTGCTGAATCGTCAGGAGTGATCAATTCGACGCTATTGATATGCTTTGTATCTCTTAGAGCTCAAATCCTCCAGATCGTGTTCGGGTAAACAAAAGTCGCGACTGTTGGGCATTCATTCATTGGCTCGGCTTTTGCCGAATAAGTCTTGGCATTATTTACGAATATTCGCGAATAATACGAATAAAACGTCTCAAAACTTAGTCGAATACGAATAATCGTTCAAGAGGAAAAGTCGAATACGAATAGCCAAAATCCTTATTCGTGTCCAGCCCTATCTGTGAAGCTCCCACGCGAGTTGTCCATCGTCCATGAGCATGAAAAAGATATTGAGCCGACTCCTTGACCGTGCGGCTGAGTAGTGCTTTGTCCATACTTCGCTATTTTCGGTAATAAGGAGACTGATATAGGCTTCCCAGATCCGCCGAAGATTGTCCTCGGATAAATCGGCGCTCAGCAGAAGGTCGTCTAGGTACTTTTGGAAAGGGTGGGCGGAGTTTCAAAACATGTCCGTCATGAGTGCGCATCCCAAAGCATCGATCCACGCCTGGCCGGTGGGATATAGGGTTAGATTTGTTGTCTATGACAACTCTGAGCGTTTCGATATGTGTAATTCAAAGTGACGATGTCAGAAGATAGGAAATACAGTAATGGGCTTAACAACCCTTCTTATTTGTAGACAGTACTCGTGCCAGGCTTCCCCCCTTTCCCTCCAGGGTGGGTGCGCCACCCCCCTCCCTCTCCAGGGTGGGTGCGCCACAGATCAACACAAACCACAGATCAACACAAAATTGAGTACATCAAGCAACAAAACAATCGATTCTTCTACCACGGTTGAGTATCTATAAAATAAGGGAGATTTTCTTGATCTCCAGTAGCTATAGCAGCTGTTTCACCATTTATTTCTTCCCTGCGAGCCTCCTCTATGAGCTCACGTTGCCTTTTCTTCCTATCGCGCGCTCGGCGTCGCTCACGCTTCTCTCACTCTTCCCTCATTTCCGTAGCCTTCCGCTCTTCAATCCGGCGATTTGAATCCTTAACATAAAGAGGACCTCCTGCATTAACACGTCGACAAGTTGTTTTTCGTTTGTTCGTTTGCGATTGTGGCTGGCATCTTAATAGCGATCCAAGACGCTGCCTTGTTGCGCGCCGAACTCCGCTTGCAGTAAACTGCCATTGAAAATCTTGTGTATCTTTTTAGTGAGCGACGGCGAGACTTCGTCAAGGACATCCTCTATATCCGCAACGTTTTTCTTCACCTTCTCAATACTGTGTCGGAGCTTTGCACATTCTTTGGCGAGGAAAGTTGGGAGGAAGACATAGAGGGGGTCTTTTCACGTTCGGGTTCGCCGTCCGAAAACTCAAGCACGGGGCCATCACCTGCACATAACTTTTCCAACTCTTTAATAACAAGCTCAGGCTTAATTGGCCATACTCCTCGTCTTGTCTAGCCGGCGCGGAGAACTCGTGGGGTGAAGGCTTTCTCCCTTATTGCAGGTAGAGCTAAAAAGAACTGCCGATGGTTGAAGCTCCCATCACCCAGGCGTACAGCCTCATTGACAGCCTTTGCATGCCAGTGCAACTTGTACGGCTGGAAAGGGATTCCATCCAGAGGTTGTAAATGGTGTCATGTGTGGTGGAAGGAAGTAAGGAATAATTCGGCGGCCCTCACAGAATTTGAGGAAGTCGTAGGTGTGAACCATGGTTGTCAAGGAAGAGGAGCCGGTATTCAGAAGATATAGCTGGGCGTATCTCTATATCAAAATGATGAATCCAATCACATCCTCCTTCATCAATGATATACCCATTAGGTGTAAGGGTGATCATCCAGTTGTCTAGAAGCCCACAATCCTTATATTAATCCTCCAGATGGTATGAGCCTGGAAGAACAAAAAAGGAGATGGTTGGTTTACCTTCAGCAGAGATGCATTCAATGACAGTGACCAATTTCCGTGTCATGGCACTTCTGATGTTTGCATTTGCTTCAAGAAAAGCAGTTATAACCTTCTCAACCTTTCCCTGGCCAATCTGGAAGCCTAGCTCATCCATCTTGTAGATGTTGCATGGGCGGATGTGATGGCTTTTGAGAACAATCTCCCAGCGATCATAAAAAGTCTGCACTATCCCAATATCTTCAGCCTGTATACGCTTATGATCCATGGGACGCTCTTTAATGCACTTATATTCAGTTGGAAGGCGTTTAAGGAAGCGGTACGTCCACATTTTTGAGACTGTTGGAAGTGGGGTGTCTGGATTTGCGTGGTTTCGATAGAGGATAGCATTGGCACAATTTGTCACCATTTCAGCGGTCAGCGGGTGGCCAACTTCATCAAGCTGTTTGATCCAGTGTTTAACTGTATTCTCCTGTGCTTTATCAAGTACTCGGTTGGCAGGCTTTAGAGCTTTCTTCGATGGCTTGCCATTGATGCGTGATCGAAGGGCGTAGTAAGGAACGCGATACTCGTTGTGCAACGACGTGATATTTTTATTTTCACCGCATCGGTACTTGGTGACAACTGCAAGGATTCGACTCTCCTGATCATCTTCCTCAAGAGGTATATTGGTGTTGAGATAATTAACTATTTGAGTTGAGTCTACAGATTTTGCGTTGTGTGGTTTGCGTTGATCTGTGGCGCACCCACCCTGGAGGGTGGGGAAAGCCTGGCACGAGTACTATATGGGCAGTTGTTTGAGTCGAAAAGGTCCATGAAGTCACGCCTATCATGCATTTCCGCTCAATGACGGATACCACCCTGTCATCTAAGTAGTGCTGCAACCAGGTTTAGGGGCTCGTTATCAAAGGCCATAAGAGAGTGGTCCATCATCAAGAAACCTTCCGCCCCAAATCCTATCCTAATTTGCCTGGGGTCTCTAAACTTATCTAAGGCGTCATGCCCATGTTCATCTTTTATGGTCATGCCCACTTCCCAAGTAAACTCATAATGCCAATACCCAACGCCAGCGCAAGCAATGCCGCCAGTATTGTCGCCAGACTAGCCCGCTCTAGCCGGCCCCCATGAATCCAGTCCCTAGCCCACATCTCCACGAAGGCTACCCAGGCTAGAATGCCTGCGGATAATGCGTCTAAAGTGCCGATGGCTATGAGGGTGGATCTGTCGTTACCGTTGAAACGACTTAACACGCCAATGCCAATGCCCTGATGAACAGTCAAATTAGTCAAACCAGATTTAGATTTTGTCAAGGCGGCGGTAGACTGCGATGAAGAACATACCATGCCTATTGGGGTGATAATGGTGAAGATGCCCCCTAGGATCATCTTCTTTGTGAAAGACAATTTGGTGTTCGGGATACCAGAGATGACTGTGCCGAGAGCGATCCCTTCGAACATTTGATGGAAGACGATTACGGCAAACAAGGTACGAAAGAACGAATCATCGGCTACGACACATGTGAGGCCAATGACTGTGCTGTTTAGCTCCGGTTCTCAAAATCTCTAGATATGAGTAGGACGTACGTAAAGAATGGAATACGATTCCTGCCTCTAGGACCGCAGCACTGATAGCGTCCGAAGGTACGGGGTGATCGTGAACCTGTGAATGAGACTCGAGTTCATTATCATCCGCTCGCACCTGAGTTGGCTTAAGGATTGCGGCTTTGTTGGATTCCCGAATTTCGGTACTTGCTTGTAGTCCTGAGACACTAATATGACGTTGACTGATGCGATGACCGGCGTATTCGACCAAGAAAGAAAGAAAGGCGCCAGCAATGAAAATTGCGCTAACCGTAGCTTCGTAGGACATTTCGCCGACGCAATCATTCTCAAACATCAGATATGCATGAGTAAAAAGCTGAAGCCAGTCAGTGATTGTAGTCGCAAAATAGGTGGAATCTATACATGGACGAAAGCAGTGGAAATGAGAACTCCTGTTCCAAACTGCTTGAGGAGAACCAAGGCAATGTGGTCTGTTGGCACCTTTGTGAAGGATGTGAGGAATATCGGCCCCAGGACACCTACAATAATTGATTAGCTATGTCAGATAACCGGACAGAATGGCATACCAAAAGCGCTCGTCACGAGCATAACAAATAGGAATCCGATTCGAAGTGGGATATTATAGTCGCGATTGATACGCTCACAAGAGTGCTCCTCATTCTCGTTTCCACCGGTGCAGTGTTCCACGCCGGCATGAAAATGACAGTTGCGACCGGAGGTGGCTGCTGATGGACTCGAATTTGAGCTACCATGTGTGGAATCACCATCGCTTCTTTGCTGTGTGATGCTGACTTCGTCACCAAAGGGGCTTATGCAAAAATTGTCTGTGCCATGTACATGACATCCGGTGTATGACGCTGGAAGGGCTGATGTGCCAGTTGCAGTTACATGAACTTGGAACTCTGTGGTACCAGCCATACAAAACCTTCAAGTTATTAGCAGGTTGCCCTGTCGCTGAAAAGTGTTCAATACAACGAACTGTGTAGTATCATGCATATGGCATTCTGAAATTGCAGTAACGACCTGTGCTGAGGACGTAGGCTTCGTTGCTGTGGTCAAGGTCTGCCCGAACGCAGTACTGACTAGGAACAGTCCAGGAGCGCGTCTTCTAAGTAACATCGTAACAATAGAACACGCGATTAGTAGTCGCAGACGAGGAATACGTGAAAGTACAATGGATTCCAACAGAGGAATACTGGATGAGATACTTTGACGCTGTATGATAGAAAGACTAGAAAGCTATAAACGAGGAACACTTCAAGCAGTAAGACGTCGTTGCAGCAATATCTCCAGAAACTCTTCCAGACGTCCTTAAATACCGAAAGGATCAGGATAGCACTATCACGGAATCCAACTCGTCCTACTAGAGCAGTGAGTGCTACGCCGATTCTTCATCTTAGTGGATATATTAATCCGCTCTTTTTCTGAATGGTTGGCGGCAGCCAATCAGGGTGTCCTCACGAAATGGAGTTGCATACCTTGATGGTTGGAAATGCAATAGGAGTCGAACCTCGAAGCACCATGATGGCTTGGAGAAGCAGCAGGGGCCGGAAATAGGGTACCTTGATGGCTAGAACGCGCTCCTTGATTGGGAGGGAACAACCAAAGTCTCCAAAAGACAACCAATCAACCACCCTCCCCATACTTCGGATGACATCGATGGTGGTCGGCCATTGAACCGATAAAAAGGTAGTAGTCGCCTAGGAGATGCGAAGTGCATCATAGTGCCAAATAGTCTGCTTCCACACCGCGACCCCGTTGTAAATGCCCATTTGTGCTGTCAGATGTTAGATCAGTCTGGGTCACACCCACTAAGGCTGCAGCTTCAGTCAACACTTGGCGAAGAGGAAGCCTGAATGACGATTTCCCAATGATATGCATTCTGCGGGGCTTTTTGAGCATATATAAGAGTCGATCATTTCCTCAGACACGAAGTTGGATATTGGCAGTCGATCTGTAAGAGACTTTGAAGGTTAGCAACGCAGTCAATATGCCTTCTATCAGACTCTTTTCTCTTCTTCTCACCGCCATAGGCTCAGTTATCGCCTCTCCTCTCAGCGCTCGGGCAGTCGTTGTTACAGTGGCTGAAACCTCTGTCACAGGTTTACCGTCTGCAACTCCATATCAATGGTCTCCTGGCGCTGTCACTGATATTCCCATCCATTCATCCTGCAATGCCACCGAACGTACACAACTTCGCCGGGCACTGAATGAGGCAGTCAAGCTTGCCTCACATGCCAGAGAACATATTCTCAGATCAGGCAATCAGTCCCCCTACTACATTAAGTACTTTGGCAATGCATCAACTGCTGAGCCTATCGGCTGGTACTCTCGTGTCGTGTCCGCAGATCGCGGAAACATGACTTTTCGTTGTGATGATCCAGACCAAAATTGTGCTACTCAAGCTGGTTTGTCTCCACCTGTTCATCTCTGCGCTTTAACCAAACGACTGATATTGTCCAGGTTGGGCCGGCCACTGGCGTGGAGCCAATGCAACCCAAGAAACCGTCATCTGCCCTCTCTCCTACCTCAATAGACTCCCTCTCGAAACAATGTGCGGGCGTGGCTATACTGTTGCTACCTCTCCGCCGAATACTTACTTTGCTGTCGACCTGCTGCACCGGCTCTTCCACGTCCCGCAGATCAGCGAGGATACCGTCAGTCATTACTCGGAAAATTATACTAATGCACTAGCTCTAACTAGCTCAAAGAGACCCCTACAAGTCAACGAGGGACAGCGACGCCTTACAACTTTTTGCCATTGATGTTTATGCGTATGATATTGCGGTGCCGGGCACCGGGTGTTCTGGGGATGATGTGGCGAAGAGTATTGCCAGCTCTATGTCGGCAGCTCTCAACAGTGCCGCTCCATACCCGGCCACTAGCGATGTACCAGTGCAGTCAGTACCTCCGGCGACGAGTCCCCCGCCAGATTCGCAAGCAGGGACACCTACCAGTGTTGCTGTAAGATTTGCCCTTTGAATCGCACAAGGACCGTAGCTAAATAATTTTAGGCTGCCTGTCACACCCATGCGGACGGACTCGTTCATTGCGAGTCTGACTAATCATAATTCGCCAGAGGCTAGGGTTGAAGTAGTAGACTTCCGCGTCTCTAGGGTTGTCTGAATGGATCATTGTGATGAAGTGCTCGAAAAACTTGCGACATGGAGGATTGCAGTTCAAGGATGGGTTCTTGCTTTGATCTAGCATGTTCCTCTGATGAGACTGTGAGATAAATAGCGGTTTCGCTCAATCCGGTGATTAATGCAGCGACACGGTGGAAAACCCCGTTAGATTCCAAAAGAGCGTAGATAGATTGACCTTGATCCTTTTTTTTAGCCTGAATCCTACGAAAACAGGCTGTTCCTGCAGCTATTTATGTGGTTTTTTATGATGATCTTTTCCCCGATAAAGGAAACAGAAGGCATAGAATCGAATATGAGATGAGACAGTGGTGATACGCCAACGATACGCCAATGATACGTCAATAAAACACAGATATTCTGTGACAGAGACTTATTGTCACACGGAGGTCACCTGACTTCAGTGTGTGTTGGGTCACGTGGTTTGTGTTTGCTCGGAGATGTCTATCTCTATCTCTTCACGCTGTATTTTAGATACATCCCAGAGGCAAAGAGAAAGGCCTTCCTAGCCAAAAAGACCGGGCGTTTCGCGAAGGAGCTCGACAAAGCACTACCAAGCAGGCACATAAGAAAGCTCTACGACAAGCTATCGAGAGACCAAGCAGCCCTACTAGTACAAGTCAGATCAGGGTACTGCCGCCTTAACAGCTATCTCCACAAGATCGCGGCGGCCGAAAGCAGCGACTGCGAATGCGGAGCAACGGAGAGTGTCCACCACTTCATACTGGAATGCACGAAATGGGAAGAACAGAGACAGAAACTGAAGACAGCGGCTGGAGCCCGAGCAAGAGACCTGGCTTACCTCCTTGGAGCATACGAATCAGAAGCAAAAGACGGCCCGATCAAGCGCTGGTCCCCGAACATAGAGGTAGTTACGGCAACGCTACATTTCATCTAGGATACTGGAAGATTAGACCCCGGAACATGATACCCTCCTATATATTCCCTTCTATACCTTCCCTCCTATACCCTCCCTCCCATACCTTCCCTTCTACTAACTATATGGTCTCAATCCTCCGATCCGACGCTGTGCCCGAGTAAGAGCAGCGTCACTCTAGAACAGAACCTAGAGGAACAGAGACGTCCAGCAAACTGACCATCTTATTCCCATACCACAGTTATAATAATTTCCTATGTTAGAAGCAGATAATTAGAGAAGATAGAAGGAGATAGAAAAATGGAGCACAAGGCCACAAGGCACCAACGCATGTAATTAGTAAGCTTAGGTAGTTCCCCACATGGGCCTCGCTGAGAGGCCTGACGGGCGTATGAATCTCTCTCTCTCTCTCATTTTAGATACATGGAATACATCGCTCTTCTCTCTCATACGTGATCTTTGCTCGATTGGAGTCTTCTCCACACTTATCTTTTGTCAAAGATCAGAGGTTATCACTTAGTCATCATACAAGATTTCTTTCCTTTTTCTGTACTTACGTAATCCTGGGCATGTTTACCGCCAACAAGTCCCGTAATTATCCAACAGACTGCAGAGTGCAGACTAACCTTCTGTGCTGCCAGATTCTCGGGCACCGGCGAGGCCGTCCAAACCCGCTCACAACATTTCGCCTTCAGATTGCAACCTTCGACATGCCTACACTTATTAAATTCAACTTCAACTACAACATAATTACACCTCTCCGCTTCTCTTTCCGACTTTCTCCTACCCGCTTCCTCTCTCCCTCTCTCTCACACTCACTCACTCACTTGTTGGTCTACCTGACCTGTTGACAGGCGGCGAGAGGAACGGAACTCCTCAGCATTGAGCGTCGCAACGGACCGTCCACGCTCTGGGGGGTTCTGTGTCTTCTCGGGGTCAATGGTAGTGATAACCAGACATCACAAGCCTTGTAGGGCTACGAACCGCGAGTTCCAAGTCTCTCGGTTCCACTCGACGCCGGTGGGCGTACTCCTATACCAATACCTCGTCTATATCCGCCCTTCTTTATCATGCTTTATCGAATCTGCTCCATGCTCGATATCAATGCCTCGCCGCTGTTTTTCTCGCCCCATCGCCCCAAGGATCTGTAGAAAACCCTGATCTTGTCGAAGTTGCTCCGGGATTAGACGAAGCGGGGCCTGGGTGATGCGATTGGCGTTCAGGTGTTCCGATAGCTGTTGATCGCCATTACGGAGAAGTATGTCAAGCAGATCAGCGAGCCGTTCAATCAGTACGATGATAAGATCGCGGAGGCCGACATGGATATCGCCTTCGCCTGGCAAAGCGGCCATCGGCCCGTGCAACGTGGGATCACATACGGCTTGGACGGCGCGTTTCCTGACACCCTTCAACCAGTCCTTCTTCGGGTTCTCACGGGAGTGGCACCGTTTTACCTGATTTCTCCCCGAAGGTTCCTAAGTGCAGTCACTGGCACGCTTCTGAATAGCAGTTTCCAGGGCTACAATAATCAGAAGTACTCCCGCAATAGCCGTAATCACTGCAGCAATCTCCCAGCTGCATTCCAACACAGGTCTTGTTGCCTACAATGTTCGAACCTGTCACGACGGCACCTTGGGATACTCAGAAGGGCATAAACGTGTCCCAACCTAGGGTTATAAGCTCCCTACAAAGCAGCAATGGATGGGGGGAGGTACTAACTCTGTTAAACTGGCAAGCATGAGGTTCCACGCCAGCTCGCCTGCAATGAGGACACCCAATACCATTACCAGGATCGCCGCTGCAACGAATTTTTCGTCTTCTGCATCGTCCGCACTTCAATCGTTATCAGTCAAACTCAGTCGTATCTTTTTGTGTCGACAGAGACGTGGCTGTTCTCATACTTGGGCAACAGACGGAGGGGCTGAACTCAAAGAAACTTACAGCAAGGGCAATTCTTTTCCTCGGCGGTGTCTGGTTGATTTTCTCCGTGTTCCGATGTAGCCGGACTCTCGCTTGGTGCCTTTGCGATACCGCCGACGATATCGGCGTCCGGCCAAACCCGTCCTTTAAGTCGGTCGCGAAGTTGTCCTGCTCGACCAGCAGCTGGACTATCGCTTTGTATCCTCGCTCTTCCGCCCACGATAGCGGCGTCCGGCCGTCCTTGTCCTTCGAGCCCGTCGCGACGTCGTCCCGCTCAACCATTAGCTGGACTATCGCCTCGTGCCCT